CAATATGGGTTTTTTATTACTCAGTAGCGATTTGATCCTGTACATGCTACCATAAAATAAAACAAAATGAAGTATATTTTTTTTAAAAAAATAATTAATTATTTTTCTATTCTTTCTGCATTATATTATAAATTCTATTCCATCTTTTAAGGGCTAACACTAATTCTATTCCAGCATTTTGAGGGCACATCAGTAACTATGGAACAAAATTGTTTTACTTTTCTTCAGGTATGAGACTCTCCATAGACATTCAGATATGGAAATTTATAACTTCACATTTGGATAATGCTGTTGTAGTAATAATTATAGAGGAATACCTGATAAATCCTGACCCATTTGGTAATCATGTCAGAGATATTTCCTTACCTAAATAGGGAAACAGAATGACTGTTGGTAAATCTTCCTTCCTTCCTTCCTTCCTTCCTTCCTTCCTTCCTTCCTTCCTTCCTTCCTTCCTTCCTTCCTTCCTTTTGTCCTTCCTAATTTTCTCCATCTCTTCCTATTTTCCGCCCTTTTCCTTTCTTTTTTCTTCCCTTCCTCCTAACCTCTTTCTTCACTCCCTTCTCTATCCCTTCTCCTGTCTCTTCCCCTCCCTTCCTTTTCCCTTCCTTTTACAGTAGGCAAATAAATAGCTGCTGCCAGATGATTAATGGAGTGAGCAACTGCAGTGTGAGCACAGGGACAGGAAATCCCTTGAGCATAAAAGAATAAGAGACTAACAGATTTGGAAGGGATCTTAAAGATCTTCCAGATCAATCTCTACTCAAGAAGGAAAATCTGTAATATTTCAGATAAATGGTTATCCAATCTTTTCTTTAAAATCTGCTGTGTTGGAGTACCCACAACTTCTGGAGGCAAATTGTCCTCAATTAATTGTTCTAATTAAATAATCAGAGGACTACACAGCTGCTACAATATCTAATGCAGCATAGCAGGCCTTCTTGCTACTCCTCTGACTACTTTTTGCATTCTTCTGTGTGTTCTGTAATTGGGCCTGGGAAGGCTCTTGGGGAATTCTGGGGCTGGAAGGCAAAGTGAGAGGCAAGTGTGTTAGTCCCTGACTCCTGGGTGAGAGCTGAGTGGGGGAGGAGTGACTTCCTGCTTGGTGGATGGGAACAATTGGTCAAGGTGCTGTTTGTGCATTGAGTGGATATGTGTTGGGAGATATGGGGATTCTGGATGTGACCCTTCTGTGGCAGTTAGGAAGGGCTGGTGTGAGTTTGAGGGCCCTGGGGGCAAGGGCTATAGTGCATGCAAGGCTCACCTTGCCCCTGATAGTTTGTCAACTAGAGAAGGTTTCCACTTTTTTAAGGAAGAGTGTTAGTGATGGAAGATGGAATGGTTTTCAGGTAAGGCAGAGAAGTGTCACCCTACCAGTCAGGATTTAGGCCTGGATGGGGACTTCCAGTGGCACTTCCATCAAAGATGGATCAGAGTCTCCAATTGTGTACGGCTTTGATCCGTGCCATACCCATTGGAGGACTCCAAATGGGGCGGAAACTTGGAGGGCTGGTGAAGAAGGGGGAAGGTGCCTGTTGGGTCAAGGGGAGCCTGTTGGGTCAAGGGGAGCCTCATCTCCCCTTCCTGGCTAGTTATACTCTTTCCAAAGATGGGCTGTAGTGGTGGTCTAAAATGGCCACCCTGAAGATGGAAGGCTGACCTGGAAATAAGGTTGTGCTGGAGCAGTGAAGTTGTGGGCAGTGTGTGGACCAGGCAGAATATTTGGACATTAAAAGGTAACCCCAGGATTGAAGAGAAGAATTGGTATAAAAGTTTGCAGAAGTGGTGACTGTAGAGTGAGAGGAAAATTGGATAATTAAGAAAATTGATTTTGGATTTGAAAACATTTAACTATAATAACTTTGAAATTGAAATGGATAATTACTTGTTGGCACTAAAATAGGCATTTTAAATGCTGGATTTGGCTGTACTAAAAAGAATAATAGCTAATAATTTGGAATTAGCGGAATTAATAAAAAGCTAAAAAAAGGAAAAAAGTGAACATAAAGAGTGGAACGTGGAATTGAATTATGAGCACCATCTAATTGTAAAAGAAAAATTTTATTGACTTTTTGAAAAGGGCTTGGTCTATTTAAGATTGGACTATGAAATGAAATGAAATGAGAGGAATTTTGTTGCAACAACCCCCCCACCCCCCCAAAAAAAATGTAATGCTGAAATATCATTGTAAAGAGATATAGGGAGATTTTACCCCAGAGTTGACTATTGGCTTTGAAAGGAATTTGAAAAGAAGCAATTGAACAGAACTGAGATATAAAGATTTATTGACTTTGGCTGCTTTAATTAAAAAATAGATGCTGGTGGAAATAAAATACTGAACATTTGGATTGGATATAAATATTGAGAAAGAAAAAGAAAAAGGCTTACAAGATGAGTGGAATATATATGGAAATAAGGTTGAAATTGCAAAGTGTGCAGGAAATGATGAAAGAAAGTTTAGAATTAGGTTAGAGATTCCAAAAGCTCTTTTAAGTGAATTAAAAATTATAAGAAAACAAAAATTCAGTAAGACAATGATACATGAAGGAAGAAGAAAGACTATCCTATTTTTTGCATTGCCCATAATAGAAGAAAAATGAATTACTTACTAAATAATTCATATAATTTAAATGGCAATTATATCTATATACTGCCTTCCTCTTGGTATTTCAAAGAGTGTCAATATTTTCCTTAATGATCATGAATTCCTAGTCATACTAATTATCTGTCAAGTTTTTAATTATTTATTTTTCAATAATATTTTTTATTTTTTTTTATTTTTCCATATTATTTAATCAAAGAAAATGAATGGGAAGCTTGGATCCTGCAAAACAAAGTGGTAATAGCTTCAGTAGAATTCATGTTTCCTAACTTATTTCTAATGAACGTATCTACAGTGCCAAACATATTATCAAAGTATTGTGTCTAAAGAAATCAACATCCTAAATTTGTTCATAGTCTAAAATTGTATACAAATCAGTCTTGCCATTTTGAATTCTGGAAAACAATAACCAAATATAGGTAGTGTGGTTACATTTGTGAATAAGCCACCTGTTCACCTTCCCTACTTTTAACTGTTCTCAAGGTAGGTAGAAGTAATAACAAAAGTACATACTTAATATGAAATCAAATATAATTCAATGAAAACATATCAATATAATCAAAATCAACACAAAATAAAAAGTCTCAAATTGTCTCAAATTGATGTATTCTAATGTAGCAGAATTTATTAGTCCTTTTGTAATTTGTTTACTATATGAAACAATAGTATAGACATGATGATAGATAAATGAAATTTCTCTGGTATATGCAGACTTATTTTGAATTTTTCAGTTACATTATTCTGACTCTTGCTCACTTTGTTTCATCTCCCTGCCTTCCTTGAAAAAAATGGTAACAAGGACAAGCCAGTGTGTCAATTATCTGTAGGCATTAGGTTATATCCAGAGGTCAATCGATGTAATTACGCATTCTCTTGCCAAGATGTTTTTCCACTAATCAATCTGACATTGAACATTAGTACTTTCAATCCAAAAGATATTTAAGATCTCCAAAATGAGACACAGTCATGGAACAAAGATCCCTCATTGTCTTAATTATTTTTGGCCTCTACTAATAAAATGGCTGACCACTGTTTATAAAAATTAGATGCAATTTATATCCTTATTTATCATAAACACTGTTACATTCAATAAATAAATAATCTCTCAATTGGCAAAGGTCCAACCAGATTTGTCTTTATGATACATATTTTTCTCATCGGTTCTTTTTGATCCTTCACTAATTAATTGGAAAACCAAAATTCAGTGCTGTTTTTCAGGAACTGAACTTTACTATAACTTCAGCTTGGAACTAAGTAATAGAATAGCATATCTGGTAGAAAATGGCTCATGACAAGCAAAATATATACTCCATAAATTGTGTTCTTCTATTTCTTAAGCAAAGGGTTTTCCATGCTGATGTTCTTATGGAATTTGGAAAGAAGATACTTGTTATACAATAAAAATATTAATTTGAAATGTTTGGAGTAGGGGGAGATGTGATAATATACCTCAAGTGATACAGATACTTATTATCCATCCTATTATTACATATCCATCTTTTACTATGCATAAAAAAGATTTCATGTTTGGAAAAGTGTAGGATCAATGGATAAAAACTGTCTTTTCTATTTCCCACATAAGTGAACATTTTAATAAAATCAATACATTTTTACACAACATCATTTATTTAATCTAAATTGATCTTGCTATCTTTCTTTTCTTTCAAATATGTATTTTCCAAAACATTTATCTCATTCAACTCAGTTTTTTGCCCTAAAATTCATTTGGGTTAGACAACAACAACAACATTCCTATGAATTTTATAGTACAGTATTTTTCTTTTCCTTTTTTAAGGGAGTCCCATTTATCTTCTCTAGATCAAATTCTTTGTAGCTTTCATCTCCACTTAAATGAGGACTGACCTGAATATTCAATGGAATTGAGAGATGAAGTATTTTCTAGAAATGCTTGTAGAAAAACCATGTAGAAAATGCCAAGAAGAAGGTCATGGTGGCTCTAATTACCTTTTGGAGAGGAAAGGAAGGGAACACTTTGTGACAGATCACTGCTAGTTTCCAATTGAGATTGCAGATAAGATAGCAATGAGTTTGGTATTAATGAAAGTTTATCTATGTAAGAACAAAGATAAAAATCTGCATGCATTTTTTTGTTTCTAGAAAAAGTATTAATGCTTCACATTCTCACACTTTCTATACTCTATTATACTGTCTTTTTATTTATGCATTGTAAACTGGAAGAGAATTTAATGTTTTTATATCTTATTGCATAGTCAACCAGGTATTTATTTTTGTCCTTCTATTCCCAAGATCCTGGATAGTTAGTTATTGTTTCTATGATCATATCATCATCATCATCATCATCAATCATCACCATCACCAACGAAGCAGAGAAGTAGAAATTCAAATATCAAAATCCCTGCTACTATCTCAGGATATTTTATCTGGATTGTACACCCAATGATATTCTCAATGAGAGTTTGCTAATAGTTTTCCCAAGAGCCTTTTTAAATTGTCCATTCCTCAGAGTATAAATAAAGGGATTGATCATGGGAGTCAGGATTGTGTAGAAAACTGAGAATACTTTGTTCAGACTCCTGAGTTTGCTATCCGTTGATAAGTACACAATTATGAGGGTCCCATAGAAAATTGTCATCACAATAAGATGAGAGGAGCAAGTGGAAAATGCTTTGCTTCTTCCAATGATTGAAGGTATTCCAAAAATGGTTCTGATAATGAAGAAATAAGAGGTCATAGTCAGCAACAAATGTGGTAATGTGCATGCAGAACCCAAGACTAACACTGCCATTTCAGTCTGCTCAGTGGGACTACATGAAAGGATTAACAATGGTGCATAATCACAAAATAAATTATCAATTCTGTTAGCACCACAGAAAGTTAACTGAGAAGTGAAGAATGTGGTGACTGCAACAGCCATAAGGCCAACCATCCAAGAGACAAGGGATAATTGAATGCAAGACCTGTTTTTCATTATAGTTATATAATGCAGTGGTTTACATATAGCTATATACCAATAATAAGACATTATAGATAAGAGATAACTTTCAGCTGCAGCTAGAAAAGCAAAGAAATAAAATTGGAGGAAACATCCATTAAAAGAAATTCTATGATAGTCAGTGACAAAACTGGCCAAAATCCTAGGGAGAATTGTTGAAGTATAGCAGGTTTCCAGAAAAGAAAAGTTTCCCAGGAAGAAAAACATGGGCTTGTGAAGACTATGATTAACTATTATTACTACAACTATAAGAATGTTTCCAGCCATTGTCACCATGTATATTATTAAAAATATAACAAAAAAGATGATCTGCAAATGAGGAAGAGTTCTGAATCCTAGGAGGATAAATTCTGCAACCATTGTTTGGTTATCCTTCTCCTCTTTATTCATGGAGTATTTCATCAAATGGTCATATATTCTGTAAAACAATATTGCAATGTTCAATAAAAGTTCTGATTTAAAATGTTGACTGTAATAATCAGGTATCTTGCTTTGCATAGTTTTTTCCCCTCATGCACTGATGAAAGCTGATCACCAATTTTATGGACAATCTTAGACTTTTATACTAAAAGAATTAACAGTAATTCTGAGGCATATATTTAAATAAGGTGAATTTAGCTACAATTACTTTTGTTTTTGTTTTCATTAGAATTGCCCTGGTAATTTTATCTTACATTACTTTAAAATTTAGAATTGAAAGGGGATACTCCTAAATACCATTAACACAACTCTTTTTACATGTTGGGGTTTATTATCATGAGTGCACTGCCCAAATCTATTTTAAAAAGTCCCCCAAATTTGTGAAAAATGTGTAAGGATGCATAAGTAGGTTGCTTAAATGAAGAAGAATATAGAAGTTGCCTCCTGAAAAAGGCACCTTTGAGACAACCATAACCTGGATGACTGAGAATCTGTATAGAGAAAGAATATGTTTCTTTGGGCTATTATTCAGAAAGCAGAATACCACTGCTATGTACAATGGAATGTTTGTAAAAGTTCCTGAAATTGGAAGAAATCCAAATAGATAATGCTGTAAAATCTATCACTCCCTCCCCCTTTCTTTCTCTCTCTCAGAGAGAGAGACAGACAGACAGACAGACAGACAAACAGACAGACAGGGACAGAGACCTTTGTATGTTCAAATTGGTATCATTCATTGCTGCTTTGATTTCATGTTTCAAGTTATCAGGAATACTGAATGCCTTGCTATTCATTTCAATTTCCTCTTTAACATACATGACCCTTAAAGAAATACAATGCAGTTTGTTCCAGGTATGGAAAAAAACCTAGTAATTTTCAAGCTTATATCTGTTGCTTGTTTATCTTTCTTCTCAGAAGATCTAATATATCTGGGCCCATCTGCCATGGGGAATTGTGTTAAGTGTTCAGAGTACATTTTTTTAAATAGAAAACACAGAAAAAATGTGAAATAAATATATTTCTTTTTAAAGTAAACATGAAATCATCCGTAAAAATAAATACAATTTTTTAAAAAAAGTATTGGGGAAAGAAATCAGAGAGAGTGAAAGGGATTGTTACAGTAGATTTTAAATGTAATATTATATTCACATAATAGCAATAGCACTTCAAGGGTTGTTGAAGCACTTGGAGGTTTATCTGTGTCTTCAGGGTCACCTGAATAGTGTTTCTGGTTCCTGAAGTCTGCAATTTTCTCCCTCTGGAAATCAATTCCTACTCCCACACCATTCAAATTGTATACACAAAATTGTATAGCTAAAAGTCTGTAGAGATTCTCAATCATGGTTGTCCCAAAGGCCCACATGGTTATCCCAAAGTCCCACCCTGAATTTTATTGACTGTTATCTACTGCCTATTTGATTTGACTTCCTGATTTCCCCTTACTTGACAATTACTGTACTTCCACAATTTATTTTTTCATTCCTTTTTATGTTGTTATTTTTACATTTTTATCATTTTTCTATTTTATTGTTGTAAGCTGTTACATATCTCCTCGCTGACAGACTGTAGATCATGACTGTCCATGGCTATGGTCCGTGCTCTTTTGTTGGAGAGCCCCAATCATCGCAGTTAGGGCTGAAGCTGCCTTGGAGGGGTGGTGGAGTAAGGGGAAGCCACAAGCCAGGTTGAGGGGAGCTGCATCTCCCCACCTGGGCTTGGGCTTTTACCCTCTGAAGGCGAATGAAGCGGTGGTCTAATATGGCCACCCCAAAGGGGAGGACTCAGCTGGACTAAGAGTTATGGCAACACAACTAAACAAAAGTACCCTGGGATTAAGGTAACATTGAACTTTTAAGAAAAGAAAAGTGAGCGGCGAAAATACAAAGGGCCAGGAAAAAAAGAAAGAAAATATTTTTGACAGCTAAGTGGGGCTTTGAACCAGGAAAGGGAGAAGCCGGAACTAAAGATTTAACTAAATTGGACTAAAATATTTTGGCAATAAACAGGTATAAAACAAAGCTGAATTTAAGATTGTCAAAAAATAATAATAATATAATGTACAAATTAGAGACTGGATTGTGCTGGAATATTGAGGTTCAAAAAACCCTAAATAAAAAAATAGAGGAAAAAGTTGAAGACTTTGTATAATGGAGAGTGCCACCTTCTGACAAAAACTGGAGTTCAAACAAAAGGGAAAGCATCCTATTTCTGAATGAACTTGTGTTGATATAATGTTAAAAAAATATTGAAACAAAATAAGAATCTTAGAAAGTGAAAACTGAACCAGAATAAAGAAAGAAGCAAGGAAAGACTGACTGTGGGATTGATTGATGTTTTTGGTATAGACCCTGGGCTGGAATAATTGAGAACTTTAGAAAATTGAAAGAAGAAAGAAGGAAAGTAAAAGTGTTTTTTGTGGACTTCAATGAGTGTGTAATGATGATATCTCTTTGGGAATTAAAAATGGAACATAAAAATATGAGAGAATTGCTACAGGAAAGAGGTGAATCACTTTGCTCTGTGTTAGAAAAAATGGCAACAAAAAAATGGAAAGAACTTTAGAGGAGAAGTCGATTCAAGAAGAAGACATCTTAAATAGACAATTAACACAAAGAACACTACAAAAATATGGGGAAAGAAGGAAGGCTAAAAAGTTGAGATTTAAGAAGATAATCAAAAAGGGGAATACCTATGAAGTCGGGAGAGGCAGAAAGATCCAGCAGAAAAGTGGAAAGAAAGATATCAAGAAAGAGAGGGATATAAACTGGAATGAGAAAAGATATGGGGAAAAGAGGGGGAGGAGAAGCAGTAAGAAACAGGTGCATGAAATAAAGAAATACGGAAATAGTAAAATGGTGAAATAAATTGTTTTTTCAGAGATAATGGTTGATGAATTCAAAGGGGATTCTGCAGGGTGACAAGGGGTAACAAGAATATATCTGCAATTAAAAATATTTAGAAAATAGGGTAATATAGGAGGGATAGATACCGATAACTCTTATTAAAAATTAAGGGGGGGAAATATGTTGCGGAATCCAAATGAAAAGATGTAATGATTATTATTGTAACTTCTTAAAAATAATGGTTTATTGGAAATTAAGATGAGGGAATAAAGGTATATTTTAACCACTGAGGTGTCACATTCAAAGCAGTAAAAGGGGGGAAACCTATACTCGTTTTTTTTCTTTAGTGTTAAAATTTATATTAATCTAGATAAAAAGAATTAGTCTCTGTAAAAAGAATGGGTGATGGAAAGGGAATATGACAGATTAGAGAACCACTTAAATTAATAAATTAACACAGACTATTAAAAGGAAGTAGAGACATTGGTAACCATTATTATTATTATTATTATTATTATTATTATTATTATTATGCAAACATATATTATTTATCTTTATTTTTAAAATAAATATTAAAGGATTATATTTGAAATAATTGAAATGAAACAAAAAGATGTTTCAATTGAGATTAATGAAAGAGGTTAGGATTAATTTGTTTGTACCTCTCCATACTGAAAATTTGGAATGGAAAAAGTAATAATAGAATTAAGTATGCATATATGAATATATAATTGCTGTCATATCTGTATGTAAAGGTGATGACCCGAAATATGTTGTCCACTAAAACTGAATAAAATTTGGTATATAGAACACAGAACACAGCCAAACCCCCTACCAATGAGAACCAATGAGAACACACCCCCACCCAATCAGAACACAGCCAAGCCCCCACCCAATCAAGTCCCACCCCCATTAGCAGTTAAAAGGAAGAAGCAGCTGCAATCTCACATCACTCTGAGAAGCACAGAGCCGGAGACAGAAGCCTGAAGATGATGAATGAGACTTCATCGAAACGTTGCCTAGATACTTTGAATCTTACGCGGGAGAAAACCCGAACAACCAAAGATCCATATATATATATATATATATATCCTAATCATTAAAAATCTTTAAGTACAGATACTAGATATAGGCTGCAAAAACATGTGCCATTATGTAGCAAGTAAGCAATGGAATAACTATTTGCTGTAATCCAGGATTTTGCAGTTCAAGTATATTAGCTCTAGGTTTAAGACTTTCTTTGGAAAACAAGCAAACAAACAAAACCAAGAAATCTGGGACAATTTTCCCCATTTCATGATTCTAAGGGGCAAAATGAAGCAATTTCTTTTTAAGTAAATATCCTAATTCTCACCAATTGACAATATTTGGTGAAAGCATTAGGAGCATGACTACTATATATATAACAGGGAGATAGCCTTAGAGAAAAGTGATCCCTGCCACAGTCTGGCTCTGTGCAGTATAAGACTTTAAAGAAGATGACCAGCACATCATATTGCATCTTGAAAGCCAATACACCCACACCTATTCTGTTTGGCCCAATTTTCTCAGAACATTTTCAGAAATATGTACTTCTTTTGTACAGGAAAATCTCCTAATTCTTACTCAAGCAAAATCCTATGCTATTTTATGTCAGCATTCATTTGATTTAAAATGAAACTCAAAATACATGTCTAAGAAATCATCCATAAAACAATAGCAATTTCAGTGATGGAGCCAAAAGTTCCATCTTGAAGAAACTAAGAAGAATAATTATCAGTAAAAAATTAGATAGACAATAGATAGATAGATAGATAGATAGATAGATAGATAGATAGAGAGTTAGTAGATAGATAGATAGATAGATAGATAGATAGATAGATAGATAGATAGATAATGATATACTGTAGATATAGCTGATATAGATATAGATGACTAAAACAATATGATGACAAATGGGGGGGCAACCAATATACTGTGTTTTCCTGAATATACAACCTATCCTGAAAGTAAGACCTAGCTTGATTTTTGGGGTGAGCCTAATATAAGACCTACCCCAAAATAAGCCCTAGTGAAAGGGTAGGCATTGACAGTACAGGAGGCAGACCTTCTCTTTCCCAGTCACCTCATGGAGGCTTGGCCCCTTAATTTCAGCCTGCAATCAAAACATGA